CCCTCCCCAAGGGTCCTCAGGCCCAGGTGGCACTGTCCCCACCCCTGCCAGCACCTCGTTAGGACAGGGCCTCAGGATTCTCCTGCACCGTCGGCCCCCACCCCCACCTCCCAGCCAGCTGCAGGCTTCAGGCTGGCCCCTGGAGCCTGATAAATATTTATGATGAGATAAGCAGGATCTGCCAGGTCCTAGCCCAAACCTTTGTCCTGGGAGCCAGAGAGAGGCAGCCTCCAAAGCGCTGCCTCCTCAGTGCGCTGCTCGGCGCTGGCGCTGGCACTGGCGCTGGCGCTGGTGCCCGGTAGGGCTGGCTGACTGAGTTGGTCTCCGGCCTCCAGGAGGGGCGAGGTTGGAACAGGTGCTCCCTCCCCGCCAGCCTATCCTTAGTGGTTCTGCTCAGGCTGAGGCCCTGCTCCCTGCCCCCTCCCTGGTCTGCAGCCCTCCTGGCCCACTGCAGGGCGGGGCCTACTGGGATGTGCTGTGCAGCCTCTTTTCCTCACTGCAGCCCCCATCCCCGCCAACGGACGCTGCCACCCCGGCTTCCCACTTCCTCCATGTCTTGATGACTTCAGCACCCTCTGGCCAAGACCACCCTGACTGATGACTGATGGGGCTGGAGGGGAGCTGCAGGAGGCCCGGCTCAGCATCCCTCAGCGGGGCCACTGTCAGGGCAGGAACCCCAGCCTCCTTTTGGAGGCCCCTGGGCCCTCATTATGTCCCCTTCTCTCCCTCTGAATGTGTCCCCATCCCAGTGCCAGCAGCAGGAGAGCACAGGATCGCATGGAGGGGTCGGGTGCTGTCCTTGCTGTCCCTGATGTTCCCCAGTCTTCCCAAATGCCAGACCCAGTGCAGGCTGGAAGCTGGGCCTCCATGCCAGATACGAGAGCAGAGTGGTGATAAACTACCCGAGGGCCAGCCGGTGGCATGGTGGTTAAGGACGCTGGACTCCCCCATGGTTGACCACAGTTCGAGTCCTGGACCTGGTGGCTTGAAATCCACACTGGGTGGGTGTGCATGCGTGCCCAGGAGGAGAAGGGATTGCAGTGTGGCCATCCCACCCCCGAGGTGAGTTTTCCCTTTCCTTCTCTCTCTGTCTCCCAGGCAAGGGAAATGTGCCCTATGGCAAAGACAAAACAAAACAACCGTCCCTGAGAGGGGCGGACCCTGCACTCTGAGAGTGGGGCGAATGCTGTCCCTGCAGTGTGGGCAGATGCCACTCAGGCTGGCTGAGAAGCGTGCCCAGGAAGGCCACAGCTGAGATGTGGGGGTGGGGTAAGCCCCGCCTCAGCAGGGAGAGCAGCGTGCCTCTCCAGACTCTGCGGAGGTGGGACGTGGGTAAATATTGATGCTCTCGGATGTAAACGTTGTCCTTGGGTTGTGGCTGTCCACGTGTTATCTGCGACATGATGAAGTACTAAGGGCTCAGGGTGTAATACTGCATTGGGGTGTGGTACGAGACCCCCAGGTGCAATGAGGTCTCGACCTGGGGTACAGGTGCATACCCCATCATGCTTTGTTCCCTGCTCCCTGTCCCCTGTGCAGATGACGGCTGCACCCAGAGGGTGCAGAAGCCACACTTAGCAAGTACATCCAGAGAAGCCCTGAAATTGAACCGGAAACCCAAAGGGTCCTGGCCACGGGCGGGTCCCGCATGGATTCCAAACCTGCTCACAGGGTGCAGCCCCCAAAGGCATCTAGCCCAGGCCTGCTGAGCTGGGCACCTGGCAGGTAACAAGGGGATGGAGACCCTGAGGAGGCTAAGGGAGAAATCCCACCCTCCCTCACTCTCTGGCTTCTGCTTCACTGGGCCCAGATCTCTGACCTTCCTTCCAAACCACCAGATCCACTGGGCGCAGAGGGGAGGTCGGAGGTTGTTGGGGGGACCAGGATAGAGCCAGCTCTGGCGGAGTCCTCAGCTCTGGGTCAGCCTCTTTTCTGCAGTCCCAGTGCTCCTGGGCAGCGGGGTGCCACTTATCCACTAGAGCTATAGAGGCTGCACCCCATGAGGCAAGGCATGGCCAGAAGGGGGTGGGGATGGAGATGCCAGGAGCTCACTCAGGGTGCCTGGTCTGGGGACGGTTGGAGAGTCCCCACTCTGGACAGGGGGCTCAGCCACCTTGCAGGAAGGCTAGAGGCCCTGAGTTTGTGTGCGTGTACAGGAGCATGCCCGTGAGAGGGCCCGGCCTGGAGCACTTGTGCCCCTACCCCCACCAGCATCGGCACCGCCTCCTGCCAGCCTCCCCTCAGCCGCTGGTCCTTAGTTCTTGGCCGCCTTTCCAAGGGCTCCTCCTGACCCCAGTCCGAGGCTTCCTCCCTGCAGTGTGGTGGATGTGGGAGGGGGAGTGGCGCACGGAGGCCAGAGGCCGCCAGAGTGGCTCGGTGGTTTGGCTATTCAACAGAATGGTCGCGCCACCAGCAGTCCGGACCTCGCAATGTGTTCATCTAGGGCCCTGGGCGGCCTGGTCTGGTGGGGATGTGGGGTCCTGAAGGGGTAACCCTGGTACCCCTCCCAGGGCTGGGCCAACCCTCCTGCTAGTGATGGGGCAGGTGGGCTGGGGACCGCTCCCAGGCACTTGCCCTTGGGCCAAAGATCTGGGCAGGGCTGCCTCTGCCTCCCTCTCCTCCCGTTGCACACAGCCTCCCGGAGGAGCGGACCACACCAGCCTCTGGAGTGGGGACAGAGGTCCCGACTGCCTGGCTTCTTCCTCCTCACCTCCCCAGAAGCTCCCCCTCCACGGTGGCATGTGGCCCGCTGTCCCTCTGTCCCAGGCGGCTTCAGCATTTACACAGCTGCCTGGGCAGCTGGGGCAACAGCGGCCTGTCTGACGCACCAGGGGCCCCAAAGAACTCTGAAGTCTAGGCCCTGTCCTCAATTGGAGGGAACTTTAGGGGCGGGACTGGGAATCCAGATTTTTATAAACCAGCTCGAAGCTGGCAGACTGGGAGGGTAGACACCCCACCTCTACTGCCCAGGAGGAGGAAAATACACACACGCACGCACGCACACACACACACGCACGCGCAGCCAGATCTCCAAGGCCACAGCGGCCCATGTAATCTCCCAGCCTCGGAAACACTAATGCATTAATGGAAAAGCCCGAGACTCCGGGAGCCACGAGCTCCCAGGTGTGTCTAACAAGCATCTTGTGGCGTCATTGGAGAGCCCAGGAGACCGATTCTGATGGCAGAATGTCAATCAACAGGCCGGGGAGCCCGGACGTCCACCCGCTAGCCTAGGACTGGGGTCCGAGAGGGCCAACTGGGACCCAGCGACTGCGCAGGTCAGTCCTGAGTCTGTGCCGGGACCTGTCGAAAGTCACCATGGTTCTGGCTGACACTAGATCAGGGTCCTGGTGACGAGTCCCCTCTGGCCCTGGGGCTGAGGTCCTTGGAGGAAGGGACTGCCACCTTGAGGGGCCACCCTCCAGGGACACAGGGCCATCTTCCAGGTGGATCACAGCCTTCCCGAGTGCGTCTGTCCTCAAGCACAGAGGCCTATCCCAGCTCGTCACGTCTTCCTCAGGCCCGAGACCAGTGCTGGGGAGTCCTGGACAAACTCCCTGAGGTCTGCAGCTGAGGCGGGTGGTCTCCGAGCCCCAGGCTCTGCCAGCTGGGAGTCCAGTTAAGCAGGCTGAGGACCTTACGCCAGGCTTCCAGGCTGGTGGCCGGGCGAGCCGGAGGTGATGATGGGGCTAGGGGGCCACCC